ATTTCCTCCTTGCCATAATCATCTTTGCCATCCTGCATTCTCCTCTCCTCATCAACCACCAATCCACATCCTTCCGTCTCCCCTTCCACTGTCCCCGCTACCTGCATCTTCTCCCTTCCAAGTCCTTCAACCATTCCCTTCCTTCCTCTCCCTTTCCACCTCCCCGTCTCCTCCTCTCCTTCCCCCTCCCCCTTCCCTCCTCTCCCTCTCCCTCACGTCTTGAGCGCGAGCAGGCCGAGGTTGATGTTGCATGCTTCTTGGAATCGCTCGTCCTTGACGACGTAGCTGCTCGTCACGTCAGCCGCGCGCGGGAGCGGAGGAGAGAGAGCGGAGGAGATCTACCCGCCACGAGCCTTGGAGAGAGAAGCGACCTAGAGGCGAGGATGAGACCCAAGAAGCGAGAGAAGAGGCAGGCAGGCAGGGAGGCAGGGAGGCAGGGAGGCAGGCAGGCAGGCAGGCAGGCAGGCAGGCAGGTAGGCAGGCAGGCAGGCAGGCAGGCAGGCAGGCAGGCAGGCAGGTAGGCAGGCAGGCAGGCAGGCAGGCAGGCAGGCAGGCAGGCAGGCAGGCAGGCAGGCAGGCAGGCAGGCAGACGGGGAGGAGGAGGGAGGCAGCGAGAGGCAAGGAAGGAGGGTGAGAGGAGGGAAAGTGCCGAGGAGGTTGAGGAGAAAGGAGTAGAGGATGGGGAAGAAAGAGGAGAAGAAGGACAAGGACAAGGACGAGGATGAGGACGAGGAGGGGGATGACGAGGAGGACGAGGACGAGGAGGACCTGAGACTTGAAGACTTGTTCGGATCCGCCGAGGTCAGCAATGCAAAGATGACTGGAGATCTCTAGATCGGTCTGCTTCACAACCTGAAAGGAGTCTAAACGAGTGAAGGAAGGCAAGCAGGCAGGCAAGGGAGGGAGCGAGGGAGGGAGGGGAGGGAAGGGAAGGGAAGGGAAGGGAAGGGAAGGGAAGGGAAGGGAAGGGAAGGGAAGGGAGGGGAGGGGAGGGGAGCGAGCGAGCTTCTGACCTGTTTGCACAGGAAGAAGATAAGGTTATGAGCCCTCGTCGACCTCTCGTTCATGGCAGTGGCTGCGCGTCGTTTCGCCTGCCCAGCCAAAATTACCCTCCTCCTCCTCCTCCTCCTCCTCCTCCTCCTCCTTCTCCTCCTCCTCCTCCTCCTCCTCCTCCTCCTATTCCTATTCCTATTCCTCCTCCTCCTCCTGTCTATCACCTCGTCTCCAGCCCGAAGGAGTCTACTCAGCTGCTCTTCGCTCTCAATCTGCTCGCAAGTCAAGGAGGAGGTGGAGGACTGGAAGGAGGAGGACGAGGACGAGGACGAGGACGAGGACGAGGACGAGGACGAGATCGAGGACGAGGACGAGGAGCTTTCCTTCACTGAGCAATCCTCCATAAAGATTGCTTTGTGCGCAACCCCATGCCACATCCCAACCGGCTTGTTGTCTTTGAGCAAGTTGGAGACCTGAGGTGAGGAAGTTAGAGGAGGACAGAGCAGGAGTTGATGCAGACAGAGGAGGAGGAGGAAGAGGAGGAGGAGGAGGTGGTGGTGGTGGTGGTGAACGAGATGGGGGAGGAGGACAGGGAGGAGACGAGGAGGAGATGGGGTGACATGTCAGACGGTCGAGGGAAGGGGAGGATGTACGGACATCAAACAACATGTCTTCACCTGATCGCCAAACACCTCCACGTAGGACAAGAACAACTCGCATCTCATCTCCCCGCTGTTCCTCTGCCATGACGCTCACGCACCCAACAAGACGCCAGGAACTCTCAACCATGGCAGCGGCTGATAGAATCTCCTTGCTCACTCTCGGTACCAGCCCTGAGTTCTCCTCCTCGATGCTCCGCACGTTCGTCACCGAGTGCAAGTCCGGTCCGAAGATCTACGGGAGGGATCAGCAGGGAAAGTTTCAACTCCTCTGCTCCTGCAACCATGTACATGCCTCTCATTCTACAACCAACCTCTCTCCTCCCACATTCACATCTTGATCACAACATCCCTCAACCCTCTACATCTCCACCAACGTTACCGTGTGCGTCTTGCCCGACCCCGTCTGGCCGTACGCAAAGATGCAAGCGTTCCTCCCGTTGATGAAATCCGAGACGAGATCGCTAGCGCAGGACGAGTACACCTGACTCTGCAACCAAGATCAGCACTTCAACTATTCCTGATTGTTGTGACAACGTCAATACTCCTACCTGCTGACTCGTCTCATCGAAGACTTCGTCGAACTGGAAATCTCTCAACCCCGTCCCCGGGCAGCACATCAGTATGTTTCCTCCCCTTCCTGCTCCGACAGACACCAGACAAGCCTGCGGAAACAAATCAGGGGACGATACATCTCTATCTCTACCTTCATTGTCAAGAACGTCATCATCATCATCATCATCATCATCATCATCATCATCTCCATCATCTCCATCATCATCATCTCCATCATCATCATCATCATCATCTCCATCATCATCATCATCATCATCATCATCGTCGTCGTCGTCGTCATCATCATCATCACCATCACCATCACCATCATCATTTTCTCCCACCTCAATCTCATCGTGAACTTTCTCGGAGATCTTGTTCTCAACTCCACAATCGCAACTCCTCTGCGTGTTCTCCTTGATGAACGCATGCTCCCAAGGATCGAACGTCTCCCCCGCTCGCTACAAATCTATCACCCTCCCCATCCTCCCCGCACGTCCTCTCCAACTCACATGCCACAGGAGCCTCCGAGCCTCTGCTCGAGAGCACTTGTGCTGCGAGGCAAGCAGCTTCAGCCGCTGGTGGAGGGGGAGCACCTGCAGCTGCGTCACTGGACTCCTCCGACACGAGGCAGGGAGCGTCTTGCCATGTTGTTCGTGACAGCATGCAGCTCAGGAGTCTCTTCACATGGCTTGTTGGGAGCTGGTCGGACGCGTGTGAAGACCTTGATGTTGAAACAGGACCTTGTCTTGGGCCGTACCACCACCCCCCCATCACACCCCTCCTTGCATGTCGTTTCGCATCGCGATGGCTCGGCTCTGAACGTCGACTTGATGGAGGACAGGTAACCATACGTCTCCTTCCATGTGCGACTCTGCGGGGCCCTCGGGCAGTACAGCAAGTTTTCCCGAGCGATCATATCGCACATGCTCTCCCAGAAGCTATCATTCATGTAGAAGTTCGCTAGGGTGACTTGATTGAGCAGCATGAGCCTGCAGTATCTCGTCAAACACATTCACATCCTCTCAGGTCTCAGATCACCGCAGTCGACAGTCCTCTGGGCAACAAGCAAAGATGCGGACCGCTACATCGTGTTGATTCAGCAGATCAACAAACGTGCAAAAACTTCCGTCATGGTTGCTTCCCCGCGGCTGCTACTGCAATCATTGTGATGATCAGATCGTCGATGTCAATCGTTTCCTCTCCCTCTCCCTCTCCCTCTCCCTCTCCCTCTCCCTCTCCCTCTCCCTCTCCCTCTCCCTCTCCCTCTCCCCTCTCCCCTCTCCCCTCTCCCTCCCTCCTCACTCGTTCCCTCCGAATTTGACTTTTACTCAATAACAAATAGAGAACCCGCCTCACTGTTTCCAGAACTGCCACCGGGCCGCCCCGGGCCCGACTTCCCGATGCCGGGTAGTCCTGGCACTGAGAAGCGGACTGTATGAGGGCCGCAGTGGGGGATGAGGGCCTATTCATTCAGCACATGGGGCACGAGGGGGATGAGGGAAGTTCTTCGAAGGGACGGGTGGAGGGTGAGTAGTATATTTCGAGATGGGTAGGGTTATATGATGTGGTGGGTAGTTCAAACAAGTACCTCAAAGTAAGGGGTGATGATAATGATATACCGGTACTTTATAGGTAAATATTGCTCTTTATAACCGGGTATTATGAGATAATGACCTAACTGACCTCTCCTATCACCTGAAGATGGAACATTGGGTGGGTACTAAATTTCTCTGAAAGGTGGGTGGTAAAATTTTAGTGGGGTGGGTGGCAGGAGGTGAGGGGGGTTGTGTATTTTTTTTTTGGGAATCGCTCGTGAGGCATCGGCGCCATGGGAGTTCAGGTGAAGCAGGTGAAGGATAAGACGGTGAAGACGTTCAAGACGCAGCCTGTGAGGTAAGACAGAACATGCTGATATCAACATCATCCGTAGGAGAGAGTCCGGTGTTGGTGAATGTGCAGTTCATCATGTCAGAGAGTATGAGAATGGGTGTGGCGCAGTGTTCGTGTTGACGAGTGCGGTGTGAATCGTGATCCCTGACTATGTGGGATGAGAAATTCCTTATCTTGGTTGGTTTCGTCCTCGAATTCTTTCTGTTCTGAGTTTCAATGGAGAGAAACGCAGAATCATTTCTAACCTTACGATGCTGAGAGTGAAAGAGTTGACTTGAACCGTCACGTGAATGGATTTTTTCCGAATGCATTAGACATGAAAGGAGAACGAAAGCAGGCGGAAACTTGATGGTTCATCTCGTTTTCCATATGATCACGTGTAGTTTGGCGTACGCGCTCATGAATGGCATGATGATTGCGAATTCCAGAATCTCATTTTGTGTTGCCCCCAGTTTGTTGCATTTGCACATTTTAGAGTTGTATGTTGATAGCAGTGCTCAATGTGGTTGATTTTGATTGATGTCTCCGATGTGCATCATTGTCGAGTGCGTGTTTCTGTCTTGAGTGCCACGTGCTCTCGAGATAGAGTCGAACAAGCGTAGTGTTATTCTCGGGCCATGAGCTCCACCGTATCATTGTTTTTTGTATTGTTCAAGATCTTGATAGAATGTGCATTGTTGACCGTCTCCTCCTGCAGGCTGTACGTCAAGGGCGCTGTCCTGGGATACCGCAGGGGGCTCCGCAACCAGTACGAGCACACCTCGCTCATCAAGATCGAGGGAGTCAGGGATAAGGACGCAACTGAGTTTTACCTTGGCAAGCGCGTCGTCTACATCTACAAGTGAGACACGGCTTGATCTCCCTCTCTCTTCCTCCCTCTGACTCTCCCGCTTCCTCTCCCTGCCCTTCTCCCGCTCCCGCTCTTGCTTCTCTTAGGGTTTCGTGACTGTTTCGTGACTGTTGTTCCAGGGGCCAGAAGGAGATCAGGGGAACCAAGTTCCGCACTATCTGGGGAAGAATTACCCGTGCACATGGCAGCAAGTGAGGCTCCTAGCATCCCCTTCCTTCTACGCTATTCCTGCTTCTCCATCTTTCATCCTGCTTCTTGTGCCTCCTCTCTCTCTGACTCGATCCCTTGTAGCGGAACCGTCCGCGCGAAATTCCAGCGAAACTTGCCGCCCAAGGCTCTTGGCGGAAGCGTTCGCGTCATGCTCTACCCCTCTAGGATATAAGGACGTCTGATCTCACTGTCACAACTCTCAAGTAAAGTTTAGACGCACACGCTCTTGTTGATCTGATACTCAGTAACCTGCCTGCGGGACTCCCTACTAGCCTGTGTGGCCTCCTCTGGGCCTCAGCGAGACCATAGGCTGAAGTGGTCGGTCGGTGACCGCATCACACTGTGGTCGTGACTTACTAGCTGCACTGCTGGCCGAGAGAACTTGATTGTGATTCGTAGAGGCCCGGGTGTCACGGCCGGGCCGCCGGGCGATCGGACCGTCGGAGTCCGATCTGAGACAACGGGCCCGGCCGCCGGGCCGCCGGGCCGCGTCAGTTTGTGATTCAAACTGATTCGCCCGTTATATTTTCGTTCGGTTGCCCCACACTTTTTGATTATTAAATCAAACTAAAATGTTATTTTAGAATGGTCGTCTATTGAAGTTACAATGAATAAGTAGCTGTGGGCTGAATGAGTGATATATGGTACAATATATAAATATTTTGAGAAAAATTGTAATAATATTTTAAATAAAGATTTTGTTATCGCTACTAGTAAAAATATTTATGTATGAATAATACTTATATATATCTACTAAAAGTAGTCTTAGTTTGGAACAGTAACTTAGTTTAGAATAGTTTTAGTCGATTCTAACCGCCGCGCCCACATCATGTAGGTGGTAGGGGTAGTGACCCTGGACGACTTTTTCTCTACCCTACCCATACTTTATAGAAATATTTTGACTATAATACTAGGGTACATTGTCCATTTGACGGGGTGACATAATATGGTGGGGTGATCCTCAGACCCTCCAGGCTCCGTACCTTCTTGTGCAAGAGCTTGGTACCCCACCCCATTTTGTTTGGACCCGAATGTTCTATTCCAACCCGGTCTGTATCCAAAATATTACAGTAAAAGTACCGGGTACTTGAGACTTAGTCTCTATACCACCCCTAAAGTTGCAAACGCACCCCAGATATTGCCACTGGACCTTGGAGGGTCCCCATCTAACAGCGGCGCGATGGCGAGCCAGGGCGCGTCCTTGCAGAACTACAACAATGAGCTGGTGAAATGCATCGAAGATCTCAAGGAGAAGAGAGAGGAAGTGAACAGGCAGATCCTGAAGGACGAGGAGGAGAAGCAGAAGATCCAAAACGATCTCCGCATCCTCACTGAGCGACTTTCACGTATCAACGACTCGCTGGCAAGGAAGGTGGCTTCTCGCAATGAGTACGACAAGACTATCATGGAGACAGAGGCTGCGTACATGAAGATTCTTGAGAGCTCTCAGACGCTCCTCCACGTTCTCAAGAGGGAGAGCGTCAGCCTGACAAAGAAGAAGCAAAGTTCCACAGGGTGAGCTTCTGCACTCTAGTCCTTCTTCGAAAGGCTGTATGCTCCTCCGTTTGACGTCACTTAGGACGACTGAACCATGAATGGAACCTGGGTGGATGGAGAACTTGTTTCAATGGTTGGAGTGTGCCTGTCTTTCATAGCCAAACTTCTGTGATATCTCTTCAAAACTTTTTGTCTTCTTACTTTTCAAATCTTTTCCGATTCTAACTATCAGGGTTACCTTTATTGCATGTGGATAAACTAAATGAAAACAACATGATCATCTCATCATGCAACGTCGTCTCTGAATCAGTTGATGACATGTGATGGTAGATCTTGATATTTCTACGCCCGCGTACTAGGAAGGTTGAAGTTGATTGTTGTTTCTCTATTCATGTACAGATAGCTCGCAAGATAACGAACTCATGCATGCTTCCTCTCCCTCTTCTTTCCTCTCTCTCTCTCTCTCTCCCTCCCTCCCTCCCTCCCTCCCTCCCTCCCTCCCTCCCTCCCTCCCTCTCTCTCTCTCTCTCTGACTCATAACAACCCTGCCTTGCGGAAGATGATCCTGAACTCCTAGCAAGCTCACATCAGCTCCCTCTGCTCCAACAAACGCATGCTCTACCTCCAAGGACACCTCCCCGTCTCCCGAGCCATCCTCCTCGGTTTCCCCGTCCCCCTGCCACCGTACTGCTGTCATGCCATGGAACCAGACGTTCGAACGAGGAGGGAGGAGGGGAGCAGAGCAGGAGGGGAGGAGGAGTGGGAGAGGAGAGTAGGGGAGGGAAAGGGAACCTGGTCAGCTTCCTTGATCATCTCCCTGAGATCAGCCTCCTTTATCTCTTCACCCGTGAACTCATGAAACTCCTTGGCGATCTGCCGTACACGTCAGCTCCTCTGTCTCTTACTCACTCACTCACTCACTCACTCACTCACTCACTCTTCCTCTTCCTCTTCCTCCCTCTCTTCCTCTTCCTCCCTCTCTCCCTCTTCCTCCCCCTCCTTCCTCCTCCCCTTACCTGCTTCAGGTCCTCAAAGGAAATCTGTCCTGTGTTCACTGCCCCTTTCACGCCTGCCCGGGCGGCTCGACCCGCGAGCAAACTTGCAGCTCATCAGATACAAACAGAAGCAAAGCAGGGAGAAGAAAGGAGGGAGCCAGGGAAGAATCCAATCTAGGAAGAGGAGCAGAAGGAAGTGAAGGTAACAAGCATGTTGTGTACTCTTGACTTACTCGTATCCTCGGTCTACCTCGTCTGGTCGCTCCTTCTCGTTGAGCTGAGGGCAAATCAACATCAGGATCAGAATAATCCTCTCCTTCTTTGTCCTCCGATTCTCCATCATCTCTCCATATCTTCCATATATTACATCATCATCATCATCATCATCATCATCTCCATCATCTCCATCATCTCCATCATCTCAGTTTGTGTTCGTAATAAGCGAACACACCTGCGGTCCGATAAGCTGACAGAACTCTTCGAAGTCCAGTTCTCCACTACCTGGCGGTAAAGTTACCAGGAAGAGAGCAGGTGCAGACATCAACACAAAGCAGCAGGACAGGACGAGAGTGACAAGGAAATGAAAAACAGTGAGGGTGCGAACAGCAAGGCAGGTAGGTCGGAGGATGGAAAAGGAGAAGACCAATAAGGATGGAACAAAGAGCGGAAGAGGGGGAGGGAGGCGAGGGACGGAGGGAGGGAGGGAGGGAGGCGAGGGAGGGAGGCGAGGGAGGGAGGAAGGGAGGA